TGGTTTGGGAGAGATCCTTCTTATTCCCATTTGAAGGTGTTTGGATGCAAGGCCTTCATGCATGTGCCGAAGGAACAGAGATTGAAGCTTGACTTCAAGACTTCTCCTTGTGTGTTTGTTGGATATGGTGATGAAGAGTTTGGTTACAGGCTTTATGATCCAGCAAAGAAAAGAGTCGTGAGGAGTAGAGATGTTGTATTTTACGAGCACGAGATGGGTTTTCATCTCTTAGGTGCTGGTAATACTTATTATCCTGATATATCTCATGGTGCTATTGATATGTCTCATGTTTTTGTTCCAGATGTTCAACAAACAGGTGATGCTCCCGATGATGGTCATGAAAATACTCATGAACATGACCGTATTGAAGAGGTACAACCAGAGATTGTGCCACAACCTGATGATGAAGCTGTTGAAACAGAAAGTGGAGAGTCTTCTAATCAGGGGGAGCAAAACAGCCCACAGGTGGAAGAGCCAATATTGAGAAGGTCAACCCGAGTTCGACAACCTTCAAGACTTTATCCAAGTTCAGAATATATCCTACTCACTGATGAGGGGGAGCCTGAAAGCCTTAAAGAGGTCTTGTCACATCCAGACAAAGACCATTGGCTGAAGGCTATGCAAGAGGAGATGGATTCTTTGAAGAAGAATCAAACATATGACTTGGTGAAGCGTCCAAAAGGGAAGAAAGTATTGAAGAGCAGGTGGTTGTTCAAGAACAAGAAAGATGGCCATAAGCTAGTGAGACGGAAGGCAAGACTGGTGGTGAAGGGATGCCATCAGAAGAAAGGCATCGACTACGATGAAATTTTTGCACCAGTGGTGAAGATGACTTCCATTCGCATGATTTTGGGACTAGCGGCTTGTTTGGATCTTGAGCTTGAGCAGCTTGATGTAAAAACTGCATTTTTACATGGTGATTTGGATGATGAAATTTACATGGAGCAGCCGGAAGGATTTGAAGTTAAAGGAAAAGAGAATTTTGTTTGCAAGCTGAAAAAGAGTCTTTA